GCCGAGCCGTTAGGCGGTTGGGGCTGTTAGGGCTGGGGGAGGGCGGCGCCGGAGCGGTGTTGCGCGCCTGACTGGAGCTTGTGGGGCAGGGGTCGGCTGGGGCCTTTAGCTGGTCTGCGGTGATTTGCCCCGTGGGTGGGAAAGGGCGGGAGGTGGTGCACGGTTTATCTCACTATGGCGTGTACCGCTCTGTGGAGCAGTGGTGGCGTCGGGATAGTCAAGGTGCGTGTGGAAGGAAAAGAGAGGTCAGGAAAATGGGGGTTCACAATATCTGGGCGCTTCTGTCCTTTGCTGATGATCCTGCTCGGCTCTCTGAGCATCTGAATAATCCTTACTTTCTTCATGTATGACTGTTGAAGTGTGGTTTATTTTACAAATACCTACTTCTAATAAAAGTGAAATCCACTGTTTGGCAGAACTGCAACTAAGATATTAATCATTTTACTGCAAACAACATTTTCAAGCATTAGTGTAACAGCTAACAGAACATACCCCTTTGCTAGAATTTAGGAAAAAAAATAAGGTTAAACAGGCAATTTGTTAAAAAAACACCAAAAAACCCCCACCAAACTAAAGAACAACATCCCCTTCCCACAGTTTTTTGTTATACCAGACTTGGTAGAGAAAACAAAAGAGGACTAAATTCCTGGCTTAGGAGTTTTATTTATGTTGAAGTGTGGAAGAACATAGATAGGACTTCTATCAGTTCAATGCATCTCTAAAAATTGAGGCAAGTGCTCTGACACTTCGCTTGTGTTTCTGAGCTGCTGGCGCAGTGTATCTCTTCTCTGTATCTCTTTTTGTGATGTGGAATAGTACAGCAATACTTATTCTGAACATCGTAAAGGAAGTATATATCATTCCATAAATGAGAGGAATACTTGTTAACCTGCTCCACCATGTCCAACAGATTTTCCTTGTCAGAAAAACTATTTGAAAAACTGTGTGCCTGTTTGAGAACTTTAAAGTCTTCTGTTGCAGAGAAGCTACATCAGCTCTGCAATTTTGCAGTGAACATCTGAATGTCTAGTAGGGGCTTTAGGCAATAGTAAGGCAAATTCCTGCAGCAGATGGAGGTTATTGGAGAGGCTTATTTTTCAGGAACATCAGGACAGGACACTGCACCGCTAGATGATACATATGAGGCTGTGCTCAGTGCAGGTAGCAAAGATAACTGCTTGGAGTTACTAGCTTTCAGTAAGTGATCAGTTAAGATATACAATGTCCAAGGGTGAAGAACTCACAGTGGGAACGTCTCTGTGGGAAGTGTATAAAGCTATTCACAAGTTCCTGAAGCAGCATCTGGAACTAGCAGGGAGGCTCGCAAGCTAAATTTTACCCACTGTGCTAACTCCATAGCACACCATTTTACTTTTTGCCTAAACAAGAAAACAGAGTAGGCTCCTTCATCAGCTAAAACGGCTTCCGTTTTCACTGCACTGAAGGTCAATTTTGGATGTCCATAAAGAAAAAGAGCAGTATGTCTGTTCTCCTGATAAATTTATGGTTAATGGCAGATGGTACATCTAAGCCAAACTGAGAGCTTTCAAATAGTTTATCCTCCTTTCCATCAGCAGGTTACTATTCCCTCAGCCTTGCCAGCATAACTTCATGTTCAGCACTCCCTAACTCACTCAAGGAGATACAGTTTAGGTTAATTTCAATGGTAGACATAGGGAGCAACTATGAATGCAGTCATGGCGGCAGATCTGTAATCACTGGTGGGTGATCTCTTAATTAATTTTAGATACAATCAGATGTCACAGCCTCTCTAACTAGTAGATGGACTCAGAGGGTTCTTATTTTCTTCCTCTATTCTTCTGATTCTGTTCATTGTAGGAGACTATCTGCTGCCTCCAAATTACTTCCCACTAATTCAGGAGAAGCCAAACGATGAAATTTTGTGAATGCCAAGAAATTACATGGTAAATGTAACTAATTGTTCAACTCAGAATATTCTTCAGGGAGCTACAACTTTTTTATTATTATTATTTCTCCTAACGATGCTAACAATTCGATGTAAACCATGATGGCAGGGCACAAGTTGCACAAGACGTTTGCTGACTACCCTGGAGGTCATTTCGTCCAACCGGCCCCACGCAAGCAGAGTCGCCTAGAGCCAAAGAGAACAAAGTAGTATCCAACATACATAAATGGTGTCTTATACAGTACATTCAAATGTAACATGGAGCAGCAGATCACCAGAAAAACATACAAAAGTATATTACAAAAACTTACAAAAATAACCCCAATTGTGAGTGTAACCCCCTAGACTGAGGAAGAAGAAACCAGCAACGTAAACATATTCCTCCCAGAGAAGGACTCCTTCTGGGAGGAGTCCTATAATGTTCTATAATGCCTCAATTTTATGAATTTGTGCGTATTACAATTATCTTATAGCTGCAAGTACAGAGCAAAGTATGCCTTAAGGCTAAATCAAAAGAAGATTCAACATAGTGTGAGATGGAAATTTTTTTAAGAGCTGGATTTAATACCTTCTTTGCCTTACAGATGTACCAAGAGGTCCTAAATAAATTTAGGCTCCCATTTTTCTAGACACTGCCCAGGCATGTAGGAAGAGACACTCTTTGCCCAGAAGGTAATGTGTCATCAGAATAGAAAGCCACAACACGAACACTGCAGGACAGTGACTGAATACCCTTTTGTAAAGTCAGCTGTTGGCAGCAGTTTTAATGAGGGAGCAGGAGGAATCTCTACAATTCTGTTTGGCTCGCAGTTCTTACAATAAAACATTTTTCCTAAGCATAACTCTTTCGAGGACTGTAGTTGGTGACCAAGAATGCAATGAAATACACGTCATCTATCTGCTATAGCAGTAACTATATGTCTTTCATAGCATAGGACACAGAGGACAGGCTTGCAAGAGTAAGACTAGCTGCTTGCATGCTGAAAAAAATCAGTTCTTCACATATCTCCACTTTTGCGGGTTTTAGTTTAATCACTTTCATAGCACCAGCATGCGATGTTAGCATCGCATTTCAAATTCATGTGGTAGCAGGTGGACAGACTTCATCAACCAAAATCTTCAAATGTCTGTGGTAGGTGCACCCTGGCTGGTGCCAGGTGCCCACCAAGCTGCTCTATCACTCCCCTCCTCAGCTGGACAGGGGAGAGAAAATATAACGAAAGGCTCATGGGTTGAGATAAGGACAGGGAGATCACTCAGGAATTACTGTCACGGGCAAAACAGACTCATCTCAGGGAAATTAGTTTATTTTATTACCAATGAAATCAGAGTAGGGTAATGAGAAATAAAAACTAAATCTTAAAACACCTTCCCCCCACCCCTCCCTTCTTCCCAGGCTTAACTTCACTCCCGAATTCTCTCCCTCCTCCCCCCCAGCGGTGCAGGGGGATGGGGAATGGGGTGTTGTGGTCAGTTCATCACATGTTGTCTCTGCCGCTCCTTCCTCCTTAGGGGGAGGACTCCTCACACTCTTCCCCTGCTCCAGCGTGGGGTCCCTCCCGCAGGAGACAGTCCACCTTCCCATGGGCTGCAGTTCTTCACAAACTGCTCCAGTATGGGTCCCTTCCATGGGGTGCAGTCCTTCAGGAACAGACTGCTCCAGCATCAGTCCCCCGTGGGGTCACAAGTCCTGCCAGCCAACCTGCTCCAGCATGGGCTTCTCTGTCTATGGGTCCACAGGTCCTGCCAGGAGCCTGCTCCAGCACGGGCTCTCCACAGGGTCACAGCCTCCTTCAGGTGCATCCACCTGCTCTGGCGTAAGGTCCTCCATGGGCTGCAGGTGCATATCTGCTCCACCATGGACCTCCATGGGCTGCAGGGGGACAGCCTGCCTCACCATGGTCTTCACCATGGGCTCCAGGGGAATCTCTGGTCCAGCACCTGGAGCACCTCTTCCCCTTCCTTCACTGACCTCGGTGCCTGCAGAGTTGTTTCTCTCACATATTCTCACTCCTCTCTCCTCCGGCTGCTGTTGCACAGCAGTTTTTTCCCCTTCTTAAATACGTTATCACAGAGGCGTTACCACCGTCGCTGATGGGCTTGGCCTTGGCCAGTGTCAGGTCCGTCTTGGAGCCGGCCGGAACTGGCTCTATCGGACATAAAGGAAACTTCCAGCAGCTTCTCACAGAAGCCACCCCTGCAGTCCCCCCACTACCAAAACCTTCCCACGCAAATCCCATACTATGTCTAAGAGCTACAATGTACACTTGGATTCTAAGAGTGGCTCAGAGGCAAAAAATGATAGTGAATTTGCTGGGCTACACAGAAGCAAGAGTTTTGGTCCGACTCCGCTTGCGTGCAGCTGAATTTCAGGATGACGGGTGGTGTTAGTCTCTGCTGCCTCATTTCCTCCCACAGTCTAAAATTCAATTACACGGCAGTTTTCTTGCAGGAACAGTCCCACTGCTAGCCACACAATCTGGTTTGGGCTGCACTTGGACAGAAAGCACAGACTGGGCTTTGTGTCTATCTCGTTTTGTAATATTGTTCTCACATGGGGAAGCTATCTCTGCTGTCTTCCTTGCATGCAATTCAGCAGTTTTCCCAATTATGAGCTATAAATCTCTCTAGAATTTGACTTCGACGAGGGTTTCAACTTTGAAAAGGGCATGTTCCAAACTTGATTTAACCAGGACCAAAAAACCCCCCTAGGATTAGAGATAGTGAATTTCTAAAATGTATTGGCTGGCTGATTGTCCTCTACTCTGCTTACTCGTCCTTTGCTCAGCAAGTGTCGCCTATCTCCCTGAGCAGGTCAGGAG